CCTTTCTAAAGCTGTGCATGGCTCTCCTTCTCAGGGCTGCGCATGGCTCTCCTTCTCAAGGCAGCATGGTTCTCCTTCCTAAAGCACCACGGTTCTCTCTCTTAATGGCCGCCAAGTCTGGCTTTTAAATCCCCGCGGCCAATCTTCCTCTGCAGCTTCATTTCCGACTCCTCCCACACTCGGCTTCACATGCCAGAACTCGTATCCTTCCAGGTTTACTGGGCTGCCATCATGAGTCTGGGCAGGTGTGGCCCCATGTCCTGGAGCCAATCTTCTCCAAGCTCCCACGCAGGTGCTGTAGCTTGGGGGATCTGCCCCCAGTCACGCCTTGGTGGGGAAGTTACTTCCATTCCCCTGGCTCAGAGATGATCACAGCTATTTAACATATCTAAGCGACCAGCCAAAGGCTATAGATATGTTAAATGACCATGCCAGAGGGTAGCTGCAAGGCTGTTGCTATGCAAAACAGATCTCAATGGCCTTGCTCCATTTGTCCCTTCCCCCAACCCACATCCTGGGTGGGGGGGATGGAGACATCTTAAAATCTCCTGGACACCTTAAGTCCTGGACCCCATTTCAAATGCCCATTTGGGGTCCCCCCTCTTGGCTGCACCCTGTAACAATTCTTCTGTGTCTTGACTGGAATTGAGCCTGCAACCTTGGCGTATCAGGATGATGCTTGAATCAACTAGAAACTGAAATCACTAGAAACTGAAAAAGGGAAGGAAACAGATTCTTCTCTCAGCCTCCAAAAGGAGCCAGCCAAACTGATTTCAGACTCCTGACCCCCTAACAGTCAGAGAAGAAATTTGCATTGTTTTTAAGCTACTATGTTTGTGATTACTTGTTACGGCTGCAGTAGGAAACTAATACATGTGCTTTCTGTGAATTCTTGGTTTCTGAAGAGTGGGTACCACATCATCTGAATTAGATATGAGCTTCTTAGCTGTGACATGTGCCCACCGGCTGCTGCATAAGCCTTGTTTTCTAGAAAGCTGAGCCTGAGGCACAAGCTAGGCCACTAAAGCTTTCTTTAGAGATGCAAGACTTGGGCAACTAGGATGAGAGAAACGGATGAAGCAAGGAAAGATGTAAGGATTGGCTCTGAGATAAGTTACTGCTTTGGCCTCTGCTTTGCAATGAGCTGTGAAGAGACACAGCAGGTTGCTCAGCAGCTCATCCACTCATAGAGAGGTTTGCAAACAGGAGCTAAACCTTCCTCTTTGGTAGTTAATCGAAAAAGGAGGAAAAAATGTGTCTGTCTGGCTACCTCCTGTTTCTCATTCCCAATCTGTCAAATTTCATCTGTGGGGGCATTAATGCCCTGGAGCTTCTGTTGTTGTCATTGTTTTTGAATCCAAAATGTATTTATTTGGATTGTTCCCTATTCGTCTTGATTCAGGGTGCTTTTAGTACTGGTTCTTTCTGAAGAACTCCTCTTCCATCTTGCTTTTTCTCCTGTAGGCTGACTGAGAATACTGGAACCACCAACACACAAAACTACAATAACTGAACAACCAGTGGGGTCCTACTGCTTGCCACCCATAGGCAAAAAATCCAGAGACAAGAGTCTGGTGGGAAGGAAAAAAGGAATTTTTTATTTAAAATGTGCACAGCAGGTTTTTTGATGAAGACGTCCCCACCCTCCACCCCACACAGGCAGGGCAAGTGGCCTGGCGCACATGGCAGGGGCCTAAAGTTTGCAGCTCTGTTACAGAACAAACAAGGGGGGCCTGGGATGATATACTATTACTGAAAGAAGCCCCCAAGTCTGTTATGTCCGCCGCCCAAGGAAAAATGTCTCTTAATGCTAGAGATTCATGAAAAGGAAAGGAAATGTTTATTTAATGCTATACAAACTTAAAGTAGTGACTTAATGTCTTTATGAAAAATCCTAAAGTCCCTTAAAACACCCACAAACAGACACAGTCTTTCCTTCCTTCCCCCTTTGCCCAGTCTGGGGTACCGTATCTCAGGAAAGGAAATAGAAGTCCATGGCTCAGGCAGTCCTCTGGTTATTCCCCATTAGTACTCTGTCTTGACTGGGAGACCTCCCTGGGTTCCTGGTACCCTCAGCTGAGTCACCGGGATCTCTGCTAAAACCAGGTGGTGGTTCCCCCTTCTAAAGCTTCGGGGGTCCCCCCTCTGGCAAAGGCACATGGTCCTCTCTCCCAGGGCCATGGGAGTCCCCACTCAGCCAAGACCACGTGCTTCTCCTCCTGTGCAATGGCTGCAAGCGGGGGGGTCGCCACTCTGCCAAAGCTGAATGGCGGTTTTCTGCTAAAGCCGCATGGTGATTCTCTCTTGCAGGGCTGCGGGAGTCCTCACTCTGCTAAAGCTGCATGGTTCCCTCTCTCAGGGCTGCCATGTCTGGGTTTAAATCCCCACGCCAATCTTCCTCTGCAGTCCCATTTCCGACTCCTACACTCGGGCACACTTGCCCTCAATCTGCTGTCTTCTCCAGCTTTTCTGGTCGCCATCGTGGGTCTGGGCAGGTGTGACCCCATGTCATGGAGCCAATCTTCTCTGAGCTCCCACGCAGGTGCTGTAACTCAGGGGACCTGCTGTTACAGAACAAACAAGTGGGGCCTGGGACAATATACTACTATTGTAAAAAAAAGCCCCTAGGTCCATCATGTCTGCCGCCAGAGGAAAGACGCCTCTCAATGCCAGAGATCTGTGAAAAGGAAAGGAAATGTTTATTTAATGCTATACAGACTTAAAGTAGTGACTTAATGTCTGTATGAAAAATCCCGAAGTCCCTTAAAACACCCACAAACAGACACAGTCCTTCCTTCCCCCTTTGCCCAGTCTGGGGTACCGTATCTCAGGAAAAGAAATAGAAGTCCATGGCCCAGGCAGCTCCTGGTTCTTCCCAATAATCTGTGCTAGACTGGTAGGCCGCCTTCGGTTCCCAGCACCATCAGCTGTGTTGCCGGGATCTCTGCTAAAGCCGGGTGGTGGTTCCCCCTACTAATGCTGTGGGGATCCCCACTCTGGAAAAGGCATGTGGTCCTCTCTCCCAGGGCCACAAGTGTCCCCACCCAGCGAAAACCACATGCTTCTCCCCACAAAGCTGCGGGGAATGGGGTCGCCACTCTGCCAAAGACGCGTGGTTCTCTGTCCAATAGCTGTGATCCTCTCTGCACTTCCACAGCTGCAAAGTTCTCTCCCCCCCCAATGGCTGCTGCATCTCGGTTTAAATCCCCGCGCCAGTCTTCCTCTGCAGCCCCATTTCCGACTCCTCCCACACTCGGCTTCACATGCCAGAACTCCTATCCTTCCAGCTTTACTGGACTGCCATCATGAGTCTGGGCAGGTGTGGCCCCATGTCCTGGAGCCAATCTTCTCCAAGCTCCCATGCAGGCGCTGTTAACTCAGGGGACTGCCCCCCAGTTACTTCTTGGTGGGATAGTTACTTCCATTCCCCTGGCTCAGAGCATGGCCACAGCTATTTAACATATCTAAGTGACCAGCCAAAGGCTATAGATATGTTAAATGACCACACCAGAGGGTAGCTGCAAGGCTGTTGCTATGCAAAACAGCTCTCAATGGCCCTGCTCCATTTGTCCCTTCCCCCAACCCACACCTGGGGAGTGGGAGTGAGGACATCCAAAAATCTCCTGGACACCTTGAGTTCTGGACCCCATTTTAAATGTCTATTTGGGGTCCCCCCTCTTGGCTGCACCCTGTAGCAGCTCGACTATGGAGCCTCTCAACCCACCCACCTAAGCCTCCTCCCCACTTCTTACCAGCCTAGCGCCCACAGTGCTACTGGTCAGGCCCAGAGAGCTTGGGGAGGGGTGTGGGGCCTGTCCCCTAGCTGTTCTGAGGCTGTACCCATCAAGCCCACACTGATAAGAGCCACGAGCGGACAATAGCCATCATGTCTTCCCTTCTCGGGAAGGGACTCAGGGCTTAAGGGCCTTGCTCCCTTGGGCCCTCTGGGCCCTCCAGTGTGAGCCTCCCCCTTCCTTCTTAATCAGAAACTGCCACACTGCCGGCCAGGCTCTTGGAGCACTTGGGAAGGCGCAAGGGGAATCTTTTCAGCAAAGGCCGCAGGCTCAGGAACCTCAGCCCCTGACGCACCAGCCAGAGGATGGGGGGGCAAAGTGCAGGGCATTTCTGCGTGCTCCCCTTTTAAACAGTCTCCCCCTATCCACATAATCCTCTGAGCAGCAGAAGCAGATGGGATAGTGTGTTTCTCCCCACCAATCACTTCCTTACCCCTGAGCCTTAGCCTTAGCCTTAGCCTTACCAGCTTCTTTTCTGAGGAGTCCTGCCTGCTGGCATTCAGGTTGTCAGGGCAACGCACACTTGCGCAATCCTCAGCACTTCTCAACCTCACCCTCACTTAATGGCGGGAGGTGGGGGGAGGTGAGTGGTGGGTAGAGGGTGGTTCCCCATTATACTAACACTTGGTTAAAGTGATTTTACAGCCTACTGGGCATTTCACATCTGAGAGTAGGAATTAGGCCTCTACACCAGGTGCTTCTTTTGTGTTTCTTCTATTCTCTGGGGAGGGATGTAAAGGAGATCCTTTGCAAGAAGTATGTTCTCATGGGTAGGTTGTGACTGTTGGGAAGCCTGGAACTTCTAGTTTACTCTATCTAGCATCTCAGAGGCTACATAGGAAATCATACCCCAAGCCTCAGGTTTTGTTGTTTCATTTATATCTAAAAATGAAGGTCGTATTCACACAGCAGTTGGATAAGGATCTAAGAGAGTGAAGCAGATGTTGGCAGCCTCTTGAGGCCTGGGCTCAGAACACACTTTCAGCACATTCTAAAGGTAAAAGGAAGTCCCAGGTCAGTCCAGATGTAGTGGGTGTGGAAATAGACTCCATCTCTTGATAGGGGAGATGCAGAGGCATCTTGTGTCAGGATGGGCAGGGTAGGACAAGTGGGAATCTAGTTACAATTAGCATTTTGGACTACAAATATGGCCACCATTTGGACTACAAGTAGTAGGGAAACTGAACTCTGACCCAGAAAAGGTGACTGACATCAGACCAGGAGCCACCAATGCTAAGTTGCTTCTTTGTTCACCAAGAACCAATCCTTGGCTCCCGCTAGAAGTCAAGCCATATAAAACTCCCAGCCTTTCCCTTCTCCCACTCGGTGTTTTCTTAGCCCTTTCTCCAGGCGGGGGAAGCGTCGCCGGGGAGCACAAAATTCCAAAATAAAGCTCATCTGCCTGTTTCCATGGCTAATTGGCTGTTTATTTCCTCGGCGGGATCTAAGAAAACCTTACATTTGGTGCTGGAACCCAGGAGGAGTCATTGTCTCCTGGAGACTGTTCCTCTCCCGGCTCCCTGAGGAGGCCTTATGGCTACCTCACCAGTCTGAGCACAGAATCAGGGTAAGTGCCACAGTCCCTCAACTTTCTGGTCCCTGGATTTCCGTCCGGGTTCTCCTGTCCTCCGGAGGCACTGGCCTCCTTCCAAAAATCGTGGCGCCACGTCAGGGAACTCTCCGAGGAACACTGGTTCCTCTCTGGGGTTCAAGATTATGTGGGAGATGTCCTCTGATCTTTGAACTCATCTCTGTCCGATTTGGTTGGTGGTTTGAGTTGCAGGACGCCAATTCTCAGCCACTAATCTCCGTCCTTGGGACCAGGAATGGGAGGGCAGGGGTTCAAACCAGACCCTAAGTCACCTCTAGGGTGTCTGGCCTTAAACAGAAATGACTGATTTTTCTGTCCGATACGGCCTGGCCGTTATATCCGTTCAGTAATTGCAAAACCTGACCCCCCTGAAGGCACTTTCAATTTTTTTACCCTTACTGACCTAAATAGTTTTTGCAAACGGACTGGGAAAATAGTCTAAGGTCCCCACATTCAGAGCTTCAGAACTTTGTGCTCCCGCCCAGACTTGTGCACCCATTGTTCCATGCACAAGTCCTCTTGCCCCGGAAAAACTGAATCTGCATTCTCTCTCTCTCTCTCCTAATGACTCCAGAGCTCTCTACCTTCTTTTTCTGCCTCTCCTGAAAATCTTGTTTCCCTCCTCATTCTCCTCCTCCCTCTGAGGGCCTTTCTCCCCTCCCTACCAGCCCCTACCAGCCCCTGCCAGCCCGCGGCCTTCCTCCGTCAGAGGCCTATGCCGGGGGAAAAAATGCCAAGGCTGTGCCAGAGAACTTAACCCTTTGTCTCCAGACGTTTGGAACACAGTGAGTATGATCACCTTCGGAATTAAGGAAATGCTGTGCTGTGGGGGTGGAAAATTTCAAAGTGCTAAGCCTATGCTCAGAAGTAAAAGCAATGAGATCTGAAATGAGTGCTCCAGTTCTGCCAGAGCTCCGAAGAGGCAGCCCCCCCCACTTCCCCCGGCCCAAATCTTTAAGTGTCCCTGTGTAAGTGGGGGCCTTGCTGGGGTGTCTGAGGTCAATCCCTGAAACGTGCAAGGGCCTCAGGGAATTCCAATCACGGTAATTAAACTCCAGCTGGTTCGGGAAAGTGCACTTAAAGGCTGGTCACCCAGCACTCCAAGCCCCCCATGGCTGTATTAGACAGGGGAGAAACTGAAACATGTAAAAAGTTAGGGATAACCAAAGGAAAAACGGCTTTTAAAAGCCCTGCACATAAGCAACACAATCTAATCTACTACTTGGATTCCTTAGCCTTTTCTGCCTCCAAACCTCACCAGGAAAAAGTCGGTTTAGTTCATTAGCTTGTTGTAAGCTTGCAGCAGCTCTTTCTGCCCAGGTAACTTCTAACAACTCAATTTGCATCCGAATACCCTTTGCAAAAACTGAAGGGGGTGAACAGTGTTATGTCTGCTGGGCAAATATCTTGCTTTCTCTCTCTTTCTTTCTCTTTCAAAAAGTCACCGCACCCCAAGGGTCAAGCATTTAAAAGCCACAAGGGCGCTTGCAGCAACAAAAAAAAACCAAAAAAAACACTAGGTTTCCCGCCAACTGCAAACAAGTGTCCCCGCAGCTAAAGGCACACTGTAAAAGCATACATGGTCTCATCCCTGTGGTACATTCCCCACTTAGGTGTAGTCTTTCAAAAAAACAGCAAGATTTTAGCCTGTAGTGGAAGTTCTGCCTTTTCCAGGCTCTCTTCTCCTAAATTTGTTCGAATTTGCCTCAAGTATTTTCTCCTTTCTCTGGGTACATTTGAATCTCTGGCTACTCTCTTGCCTGTCTGCTTTACCAAGTAATTGCTGTGTTTATTTTCTAGCCAGACAACCATCTAATCTGTAAAACCATGCCTTTGATCCTTATTGCGTGCGCAGCAGGAGGTGATAATATTCCTTATCTGCCTAACCCAAGCCTTGCATTCAATTTCAGCTTTATATTGGGCTTGGCCCTAGTATGCCCACATTGCCTAAAAACAAGGGTACAAAAAAATAAAATCTCATTCCATCCTTAACTGTAAAACTCAGAAAGGAAACTGAGAAATTAAGTCTTTGGAGCATTGTAAACTTCTAAACCTGAAAGCTACTGTAGGTCCTCAAAACAATAGAGTATTTAACTGGCCACTCAAAACAGCGGGGTACCTGCCTCTCCAGTGCTGTAAAAAAGGTAACATTTTAAACTGAGGCGTTTTTTTTTTCCAGCTGTGCCTAAGTCCTAAGCCTGATATCTCTGCGGTTTTTTTTTTTTTTTTCTTCCAGCCTCTGTCCTGAGCACAGCAGGGGGTGCAGCACGGCACTGCAGCACCCGGAGTTTTCGTAATGCTGGCAAACAGCAGCTTATGGTAGGTTTTTTTTTCCTCCTTTAAATAGGGCCGTACTCGGGTACACGTGCCTTTCTCAATAGCTAACCAGCAGCAGTACAAGGAAAGGCTACAAAACTTTTCTGAAAGTCCCTCGTAATTCAGTAACTTCCATATTTTAACCCTTGCCTTTAATATGGCCTGGAAAAACCTTTACATAGTTCTAACTAATTTAAAAACAAAACCCTGCACTCTTCTGCAACAGATTGCTAAAGGCCTTTCAGAAAAACCCTAATATAAACCCATTGTCTCCAGACAGACAGGTATTAATACGTCAATACCTTATAACTCAGTCAGCCCCAGGCATTCAAAAAAACTAAAAAAGGCAGAAGACAGTCCTCAAACCCCCATCCGAGATCTGGTAAACATGGCATTTAAAGTTTTTAACTACTGGGACAAAAATGCTAAGGCTGCTCGCCGAGCGCGCCTGAAACGGAAGGTAGCCCTGCAGACCCAGGCTATAGTAGCAGCCCTGAGGCCTGCCGAAAACCCAGGACAGCAGCCCAGGGGCCAAGTCAAAGTCCGGGCCACAGAAAAACGCTTCCAGGAGCCTGTTTCAAATGTGGTCAACCTCCCACCAAGCTGCTTCAACTGCTGGCAGCTCGGCCATTAAACAGTTGCCTGTCCCCTTAAAGGCTCGTTCCGGGCGCCTCTACGCGGGGGACCAGCCAGCCAAGGTGAGGACTCCTCTCTGGCCTTAAAGCTCCGTGGCTTCATGGGCAACTGACGTGGGCCGGACTCAAAGACACTCATCACCCTCGTCAAGCCCAGGGTAATGTGGCAAATAGTAAGTCTATCTCATTCCTAGTGGACATGTTACAGGGTGCAGCCAAGAGGGGGGACCTCAAATAGGCATTTGAAATGGGGTCCAGAACTTAAGGTGTCCAGGAGATTTTAAGATGTCTCTACTCCCCCACCCAGGGTGTGGGTTGGGGGAAGAGACAAATGGAGCAGGGCCATTGAGAGCTGTTTTGCATTGCAACAGCCTTGCAGCTACCCTCTGGTGTGGTCATTTAACATATCTATAGCCTTTGGCTGGTCACTTAGATATGTTAAATAGCTGTGGCCATGCTCTGAGCCAGGGGAATGGAAGTAACTCCCCCACCAAGACGTGACTGGGGACAGATCCCCCCCCCTAGCTACAGCGCCTGCGTGGGAGCTTGGAGAAGATTGGCTCGAGGACATGGGGCCACACCTGCCCAGACTCATGATGGCAGCCCAGTAAACCTGGAAGGATATGAGTTCTGGCATGTGAAGCCGAGTGTGGGAGGAGTCAGAAATGAGGCTACAGAGGAAGATTGGCCGCGGGGATTTAAAACCCAGACTTGGCGGACATTAGGAAGGAGAACCATGCTGCTTTAGAAGAGAGAACCAAGCGGCTTTGGCAGAGTGAAGATTCCCGCATCCCAGAGGAGGAGAACCATGCGGCCTTGACAGAGTGGAGACTCTCATGGCCCGGGGAGAGAGGACCACGTGCCTGTGCCAGAGTGGGGACCCCCGCAGCTTTAGAAGGGGGAACCACCACCTGGTTTTAGCAGAGATCCCGGCAACTCAGTGGAGGGTGCCGGGAACCCAGGGAGGTCTCCCAGTCGAGAGGGAGTATTAACTGAGAAGAACCAGAGGACTGCCTGAGCCGTGGACTTCTACTTCCTTTCCTGAGATATACGGTACTCTGGACTGGGCAAAGGGGGAAAGAAGGAAGGACTGTGTCTGTTTGTGGGTGTTTTAAGGGACTTTAGGATTTTTCATAAAGACATTAGGTCATTATTTAAGTTAGTATAGCATTAAATAAACATTTCCTTTCTTTTTCACGAATCTCTGGCATTGAGAGATGTCTTTTCTCTGGCGGTGGACATAACGGACCCGGGGCCTTCTTTCAATAATAGTATATTGTCCCAGGCCCCCCTTGTTGTGTTCTGTAACAGACAAGGAAGCTACTTATTCAGCCTTGCCATCACATTCTGGTCCCCTTACCCCTTCCCAGATCTCGGTCATGGGGGTTAACGGAACTCCAACACGCCCCCTATCACTTGTCAGTTTAAAAGCCAAGTCTTTAAAGAATTCTTTTCTGATTATTCCACAATGCCCTATACCACTGCTAGGGAAAAAACCTCTTGGCCAGACTGGAAACTATTTTAAAGTTACAGGAAGCCTCAGATAAGGTCCTTATAATTATGCTAGTTTGTAAATACAAAAAGGAAAATAATATCCCAAAGCAGATTTTACAAAAAAATAAATCCCTTAGTTTGGAACTCTGGAGTTCCTGGCCGGGCCAGCACTGCCCAACCAGTCCAAATCTGCCTTAAGCCAGCCCCTGTCTCGGAAAAGTGGTCAGCGCAGTTTGTAGGAAATACCCAAGTCTGCTTTACTCGAACACCAGGTTCTCCCAATTTAAGTTTTTACTGATCCTCCTCCTCCTCGCTCACCCATGCCTGTCAGAAACCATTCCTAAACTACAAAGCAAATACATTTGGGGATTCTTCGTATTGCAGACCCGTAACAAAGATGGACAGGTGGTTTCTCACCTAGTCACTTCCGCGAATTGCCCTCCCTCTGGTTGTTCTACATCCATACTTCTCTCTGCTTCCAAAAGTAGCTTTAAAGGGCTGGACAGCTGGACTGCCCCGTACAGATGGCATGCTCTCTGTTCCCTCTATGATCAGATGGGTAGTAACTGCAAACTCTGGCTACACACACATGGAAGGCTGCCCCCACTACTACTGTAAATACCATGGATGGAGTACTCTCCAGTCTTGGTGCTTTGCTATTAATAACCCGTGGGACTCCAAATGGGAGCAGGGAGTAAAGGGAAAACTGTACCAAAGCCTCTCCTATTCGCATCCCCAGAGTTCCATTGAAATATACCGAGCTCTTACTCCAGGTCCATGGATTAAAACCCTACATCAAGGTATTTACCTCCTAAACCTTACTGACACAGGAAATATTACTGACTGTTTCTTATGTGCTTATCTCGACCATTCTCCGATCGCAGCTGTCTCCATCCCTAATCCTCTCAATGTCACTGAATCCCCCTACACCTTTCCTCTTAAAGGACGTGCCTCTTTAAGATTCTGGACGCCAGCTGCAGGTATGTTACGCCACTCATAGCACCTCCTCCTGCAACCAAACTATTCCCATATCAGGAACCACCACCAGCCCTCTGGTACATTTTTTGGTGCAATGGAATGCTGCTATGGACCGTTAACTCTGCCTTCCCCTGCTTCCTGACCATGCTGACCCCACAGCTTATGCTTTATGGAGAGGGGAAGCTCAGGGACAAACTAACCAGGCATCAAAAAACAGGCCAGTCTTCCTGCTCATACTAGCAGGTATAACCTTCACAACCCTGCCAGCAACTGGGGTAGGCAGCACTGGGTTAGCACACAGTTTCTAAGCCACTCGCCAACTACAGGCTGAGTTGGAGCAGGCCCTTGATGCCTCTGCCACCTCTCTAGCATCTTTGCAGAGACAGATAACCTTGGTAGCCCAGGTTGCTCTCCAGAATCGTAAAGCCCTGAACCTACTAACAGCAGAAAAAGGAGGGACATGTCTTTCTGCAGAAACATTGCTGCTTCTGTGTAAATAAAAGCCGCCTAGTAGAGGGAAATGTCAATACCCTACAGGATCTCAGGGACAAATTATGCCAGGACCCTACCTCTCTCAAAACAACTCTGTGGTGACATTCTTTACTCTTTACTACCCTGGCCCTGGTCCTAGGGCCACTCATAATAATCTGCATACTATTAACATTTCACCTGTTTCCTGAAGTTTCTCCAGGAAAAATTCGTGAAGCCTCCCAGGTTACCTTCAACCAGATGCTGCTTCAGGCCCACACCTACTTGCCCGACGGACCAGAAACAGCCGACCTCTTACCCCTCCCCTCTGCGCCCATTCTGACAGTATGAAGAAGCCAGATAGACCACGACGCCCCTTATCCCTATACCAAAGAGGTCGGAATGTCAGGATGGGCAGGGTAGGACAAGGGGGAATCTAGTTACAATTAGCATTTTGGACTACAAATATGGCCACCATTTGGACTACAAGTAATATGGCAACTGAACTCTGACCCAGAAGAGGTGACTGACATCAGACCAGGAGCCACCAATGCTAAGTTGCTTCTTTGTTCACCAAGAACCAATCCTTGGCTCCCGCTAGAAGTCAAGCCATATAAAACTCCCAGCCTTTCCCTTCTCCCACTCTGTCTTTTCTTAGCCCTTTCTCCAGGTGGGGAAAGCGTCGCCGGGGAGCACAAAATTCCAAAATAAAGCTCATCTGCCTGTTTCCATGGCTAATTGGCTGTTTATTTCCTTGGTGGGGGTCTAAGAAAACCTTACATCTTGTAAGGGACCTGGGTATCAAAAAGTAAACTACCACAGGGGGTTAGCAGGACAGAGAAGTGGGAGGCAGAAAGTACCCAGCACAAATGCAGGGAGCCATAAGTACTGTACAAGTAGTAGATCACACTTCACTGAAGCGAAGCCCAGAGTGCCGTTGTGTGGAGAAAAGAAAGCCCAAGCGGACAGCCAGATCAAGAAGAGCCTTGGATCTATGCCTAGGCATTTGGATTTTGTTCTGGAGGCAGCAGGGAACCCAAAGGGGAGAGAAGCAGACAGGTTTTCTTTCTGACTGGGATGCAGTGAAGAGGTAAAGTCATCTGGGCAGGCCTGGAGGCAGTGGGCCAGCAGGTGCCTGTTACAGCAGTGCAGGTAGATGATGATGGCCTGATAAGGGGCATGTGGGAGGGGGCTATGTGCACAAGGTACTGAGGAGGAAGATGCTCTAGGACATGTTCTTTGTTTTCTAGCAATTCCCTGGAAATGTTTAAAAGGATAGCCTCTTTAGATGAATAGTGTTTGCATTTTACTGCCTTTGCCAGCTCTAACTATTCCTATATCAAAGTCACTTCTCAATTAATAGCACCTCATGATTCAGTTTGCAATACAAAATACTCAAGTGTAACTTAAGTTGGTTTTCTGCATGTAAGGATTCCTTTTTTAAAAGTATATTTTATTGATTATGCTATTAAAGTTCCATTTTTTCTCCCCTTTGTTCCCCTACACCCTGCACTTCTCCCACCAACGTTCCCTGCTGCCTTAGTGCATGTCCATGGGTTGTACATACATGTTCTTTGGCTTCTCCATTTTCTATACTATTCTTAACCTCTCCCTGTTTATTTTGTACTCCCATTTATGCTTCCTATTCCCTGTACCTTTTCCCCCATTCTACCCTTCCCGCTTCCTGCTAATAACCCTCTATGTGATTTTCACTTGTGTGATTCTGTTCCTGTTCTACTTGTTTGCTTAGTTTGTTTTTGTTTTTTAGGTTCAGTTGTTGATAGTTGTAAGTTTGTTGTCATTTTACTGTTCATAATTTTGATCTTCATTTTCTTAGATAAGTCCCTTTAATATTTCACATAATAAGGGCTGGGTGATGATGAACTTCGTGAACCTGACCTTGTCTGGGAAGCACTTTATCTGCCCTTCCATTCTAAAAGATAGATTTGCTGGACAGAGTAATCTTGGATGTAGGTCCTTGTCTTTCATGACTTGGAATACTTCTTTCCAGCCCCTTCTTGCTTGCAAGGTCTCTTTTGAGAAATCAGCTGACAGTCTTATGAGCACTCCTTTGTAAGCAACTCTCTCCTTTTCTCGTTGCTTTTGACATTCTCTCCTTGTCTTTAATCTTGGGTAGTGTAATCATGATATGCCTTGGTGTGTTCCTAAATTTTTTTAGTTGATTTGAGAAAGAGAGAAAGAGAGAGAGAAAGTAATGAGGGAAACACTAATTTGTTATTTATGCATTCATTGGTTGATTCTTGTACATGCCCTGACAGAGAATCAAACTCACAGCTTCGGTGTATCAGGACAATGCTGTAAACAACTGAGCTACCACACCAAGGCTAAAAGGCTTAATTTTTGATACAGCAGCTCTGAGCTGCTTTCACTTTGGGTCAGAAAAAGCCACTGCTGTGTTGGAACCTGGCGCAACATGCAGGGTAAAGGTCTGGGACAACTTGTGGCACAGTTATGAAAAGCTGAGAGGAATGTGGAAGCTGATGTATCTCCACTTGAATTCAGCCACTTCTCTGCTTTGCGGACCCTCAGGCCTGGGCCTGTCACACCCTGGGTTCTAACTTTGGGCATCCATGATCCTACTAAGCCAGGGCTTCTAACTCCAGGGCTTTAGGGTGGAAGAACCCTGTGAACAGACCTTGTTACACCCACCCCTGCATCTGGTATGATTTGCACTCCTAGGGCTCAATAGAACCCTTTGAGAAGGTTAACTGGGGAGAGGGCAGGGGTACCATCTGTGTTAAAGAAGTCCATCTTTGAGGAAGAAGGAAATGGAGGTCACCCAGACTTGCCTCTTTGGACCTCTACCTTGCATCCTCATCTTTTGTGGACACATGCTGCTATTAGTACTGAGCTAGTACATGCCACGAATTGCTGTAGGGAATCAATCTCAACCTCAATTTGTCTCTGGCACTATAATTTGCCTTTTAGTGTCTTGTTATGTGAATTCTTTTTTTTTCTAATTTTGGTTATTTAATTTTAGATAGAGGCAAAGGGAGGGAGAATGACAGGGAGAGATACATCAATCAATGTGAGGTTGCCTCTTGTGTAAACCCCACTGGGGACCTGGCCCGAAACCCACGTATGTGCCCTGACTGAGAATGGAACCAGAGACCCTTTCGTTGTCAGGCCAGCACTCATTCCACTGAGCCACACCAGTCAGGGCTGTACTGTGGATTCTTACCTCCTTCATCTCTCTGGCCTTTGCTCTGCCTGTCCCACTATCACTGTCTTAACCAAGCACTTCAACTGTGTAACCTACATTCATGCATTAAGACTTGGTCAGCTCAAGTGTCCTTTCCCCCAGGAAGCCTTTCAGAAGCTTCTTCAGACTGTTATGTAATTTCGGAGTTATTTTTTTTTCTTCCATTAGACTGTAAATCTGACAAGGCAAAGGCACTTCTCCCCCTTGTACCTAATATGCACTTACTTGGTAATTGCTAAGTGCATGAATGCATGAATATATAAATGAACAAAATGAGGAAATATTTATTTTCCATAGCTGCACATGGGACTCATGTCCAAATATGGGCATTTCTATTTTTACCTCGTATTCTCCACAGGTTTTATAATTTTTTTTAATAGGCATGTTTTCTCTTGTTCTGTTTCATTCTCTACTTTACAAAACACAAAAGGAAACAAGACTCAAGATTCAAGATAGATACACACTCATGACTGGAAATTCAATTCCAGCTTCCTGGACCAGAGAATTAAATGAATATGGATCTTCAAAGGAAGTTAAATTTGCAAACTGCTGTCACACAAAATTAGCAATAGAAAATCCCACTGTCCCATATAGGAGTGTCTCATTATATCCCTCCCATGGCGGGCTGTGGAAACACCACAGAGAGACAATTTACCTTCTTCTTATTCTTGCTGGAGAGTTAGCTGTTATGGCTCATTTTAAGGTAAAGTTTTGTTAGTGGGTGAGAACTAGTAATAAAGTGCAAACTTGAAGATATTCATCATGAACAAATACTGATGGTATTCCCATGGTGTTCTCACAGAAAATGAAGGGCAGAAAACAATTCTCAGCCTAATCTTGTAAATTTCCAGGGTGGCTTTACTGATTAGAATTTACCTAACATTTAGTGAGCACTCACATTATGCTGTGTATGATATAGTCACAACTAAAAAACCCTTCTGGCCATCCCATCAAGATGTTTTTCTTTATAGCATAAATGGAAAGAGGATAGTGGACACCACACACAAACCAATTTGTAAAACCATCATTAGTTTATTTTTCCATGAATTTTGATGAAGGGAAACATATTTGGGGAAAGGGTCATCCTGTTTATGCAACATTATTTTTTTTTCTTAATTTGAGAAAGAGACATCAAAGTGGAGGGCAATCTCTCGAATTGATCAATATACCCCAGCCAAGGTCTAGTTAACCCTGTCTAGGTAAATAGGTGAAAGGGTGATATTGTAATCTGGGTCCTTGTCGCTCTAGCTACAGAATTTTCCCCCGGCTTCTGGAAAATCCAAATTAAGGCCAGGGGTTCCTGGTTATACCTCTATCAGTTCAAAACCTTTCTGAGGTGTTAATAGGACAAGTTTGATATTTATCCACTCTAAGAGGAATGCATGTTCATGTGACAAACCATCAAGTAAGAAGTGACCTTGACCGGTGGGGAAGGACAGTGATAATGAGAGAAATCCAATACAACACTGTTTTCAGTTCCAGCAAAGCAAGGGGTTGAAATGAGGCTGCTGCTTATTCTGTCTTCTGTAGAAAAATTTGTTGGTTAACCAGCATTTGTTGTGTTTGGCTTAGAGCTTGTGTTATGTGGGCTAGCTAAGTACATACTCTTTAGCTCACAAATATATCAAACATTTGGGGAACACATTTAATATGTGTGTGGCATTGTATTTCTCTAAGAATCATTCCTGATAATTTTATGTAGGTCTGCACTGCTTTTAAGAATAGTTCTCTTTCCCTGGCTGGCGTAGCTCAGTAGATTGAGCGCGGGCTGGGAACCAAAGTGTCCCAGGTTCAATTCCCAGCCAGGGTACATTCCTGGGTTGCAGGCCAGAACCCCCAGCAACCGCACATTGATGTTTCTCTCTCTCTCTCTCTCTCTCTCTCTCTCTCTCTCTCTCTCTCTCTCTCTCTCCCTCCCTTCCCTCTCTAAAAATAAATAAATAAAATCTTTAAAAAAAAAAAACTCTTAAGAATAGTTCTCTTTCACAGAAGCAGTGATTACACGTGCTTAATTATATACAGCAGTTTTTCACATCCTTACTGCATGAACTATGTACGCTAGCCCACACATCAATGTCCCTTTGAGGCATCTCTGCAGAGCCTGGTCACTGATCTGTGCAGAGGCTGAGTACACTGTGTGTCTCTCCTGAACAAAACCCAACATAATTTTTAAAACTGGAGGTTGTATTAGAAGTATTTGGAATGATTGTATACTAATGTGGAAAGAATTACATGCAATTAGCTAAAAAATTTACTTTAGGAAATTATAAGTCTGTAAAGACATATTTTGTTACTAGTTTTATACAC